TGTAGTTTGACACCTATACAACAACGACAGTCAGCAGCTGCGGTCAAAGTTAAAAGCAAGTATCTGATATTGTATTATAAATTCATTATCCCCACAGTTCGGATAGATTAGTCTTGTCTGTACTAGGCAGGGTATCAAATCATTCAATTCGGAGTGAGGCCATAAAAGAACCACTTTTAAATGAGGTGTATCTGAAGAACCTTTTACAGTTAAAAGAACCTCCACATAATGTAAAGGTTCTTTACTGTTTAAAAGTCAAAATGTCCAAACCAATAAATAATTAGAAATTTATATTTTTAGAAGCATTTGATTAACACAAAGTGGAAGAAGCTCAGCATGGTGGTCAAGATTAATTTTTAAAAGAAATGCACAGCATTTTACACTGTGCATACTGTAAATGTACATTTTTCTTTACCAAGATACAAACTACAGTACTCTGCAAAAGTCAGAGACCACTCTTCACTCACTGAATTTCCAGTCAAAACGGTCATTAAGTACAAGTTTGTGCATTGCATTTTCCAGCATTAGGAACAAAACATGACAGAGAAGCTTCAGCAACTTAATATAATATAATTTTGTTCAGTATTAAGTGTGTCCACTCCTTACTTCGTTATAGCTTCCGTTCTTTTCAGGAGGCTTGCTTTCAGTTTTTCAGAGATCTGCAGCGATATTTTTCCACACCTCCAAAGTTCAGTCTTAGAAGTTGGTTGTAGTTTGTAATTCATCGGTCAATAAAACCTTAATCCACATCTCAGATGTCCAGTTTCGGTGTTCTAGTGTACATTTTTCCTTTTTTTGTCTGTTTCCTTTTCTTAGCAACAGCTTCTTGACAGCTACACATCCTTTCAGACTCATAGTGCTGAGTTGTCCTCTTTCCACAGTGGAAGGAAGAAAAGGGTTTTTTCAGATCTGAAGCAAGAGTGGAGCTTGATTTTCTCTCATCACGGAGAGCTTTAAGTACGGTTTATCTGATGGTGACAGTTTTGATGGTCTACCAGGTCTTACATAGTTGTTAGGAGTCCCATTTTCTCTGTCTTTTATTCTTTTTTTTTACATTTCAATTTTAGAAACTTTTAGAAACACTGTTTCCTCACTTTAACTTTCACTCTTGCATGGTTGTTGGAAGTCCCGTTTTGTCCCTTGAACCCTTTAGGGGGCTTTATGTAAGTGGGTTATCTTATATCTAACTGTCCATTGTTTACTGGAATTAGACTTTAAATTAATAAATAAAAGGGCAGAGACTTTGCACAGTCCTATATGTAAACTTATTTATATGTTAGTATAAACTCTTAAAGAATGGTTCTTCAAGGGTTCTTTGGTAAAGACAGTGGCTCTATATAGAGCCATGAACACTAAAAGAACCATTTGGAACCCTTTTTGGTGCTACGGTTCTATATAGAATTTCACATTCTCCAGCAATCTGAAGAACAGTTTCACCATGCAAAGAACCATTTAAGCATGCAGATGTGTTCTGTATAGAACCACTGAACCTACTAAAGGACGCTTGAAGAACCATCTTTTTTAAAAAAGTGTACAACCTATATCCAAAGGTACAAGCGGGTCCTTAAAGTCCAATTGTGTAACTTATTTGAGGTAGGCTACATGTACAAAGGTAGACTACATTCACTTTCCTAGGGGAAGGTGCATGTTTGTGCCTTTTCACAACTTAAGATCTTTAAGGAGAAACATAAATAAAAAGCTAAGAATGTTCAGAGTCAGAGTCAAAAGACAGAAACACATAATTAACAGAAAATTACACAGGAACCTCAAGAGCTGAATATAATATCAACTTTTTCAGACTTTAATGTGTCCACCCATGGCCTTTTTACAGCATCCATTCCACTGTCTGCATTTCTTGCTTCTCATATTTCAAGTAATCTCAGTCATTTAATTATGTTGAGGTTTAGACTCTGGGGTGGCCAGTCTTTTGTTCTTTAGAAACACAAATAAAAAGCCAGGAGTGTTCGCAGTCAGTTCAACTTAAGTAATTAATAACTGCAAAGACATTTAGTATATTTATGTTCTCTAACAAAAGGTACTGAACAAATAGCCTTGAGGCTCTCACTGCAGTGAGAACATCTGCACCTTGAAAGGTGCAGTTTTTCTGAGAGTGTGGTGTAAAGGCCGCACTGCCAGGTTCACACCCTTGAAATTTCAAACACCAACTGATAACAACTAGTTTACAGCAGCTGAATAAAAACAAGGCAAGAACAGCAGAACATTCATGAAATTCCAATGTGTATGTCTTGTGAAATGCCTAATACATTTTTTCTACAACATCCTGCTAGACTACATGACACCTACATAAGACCTCTTTACAGACTTACATAAACCTACAGAACATTTATAATGGCTTTTAACTCTCCACCTGGTATAAAGGCCGCTTTGATCAATTTTTGATCTTGAGTCGATATCAAGAATCTGAAGTGGCATAGATTTTAGTTGACATAAGATTGTTATAATACTTTCCAGTTATAAGTGCCATAGCATGTTATGGTAACTCACACTGTAGCTCTGGTATAGACAAAACGCAGGTAATGCTGTGACATGACTTGACCAAGTGAGGCCAGTTGAGGAGAGGTGAGCACTTAAAAAGATGTTCTGCAGTAACTGTCTTGGCACTTGATATATTTCCTGTATACAGTGACATGATATAACTCCCGTCAACAATGTAGTGATAAATAACGTTGCTCTCAGTTGATTAATCGTGTGTTGGGTGGTTCGGTCACTTAGATACATAGAACAAAACAACATCCACAATCTACTCCAGCCTGCTCTATTGCATAAACAGCAAAATGAAACTCACTTTATTAAGAATCAGAGCCAATACACATAACTGTGTCATTATATTGTTACGCCATTTCCATACACAGTCACAGAAAATGAAAGCCTTTACGTGAGGACCAGGAATGTCATGACTCTGCTATTAAAAGCCACAGCACTAAGTATTGCTTGAAATCTTATAAACAGCAAAAATGGACAGGAGAAAATATACATAACGCATTACGGTCTCAATCCAGTGACTTGTTTTTACTGTACAGTGTTTGGAAGGTTACAGGTACAGGTTACAGATTCAGCATTTACCTGCTAAAAATGTACAACACCATTTCCTATAGTTGGGACGCTGTGCAAAATGCAAAGAAAAAAAAATAGAATGCAATGATATGCAAATCATGTAAACCCTATATTTAATTGAAAACAGTGCAGAGATAACAGTTTAGCACCCCGACTCTTTTACTATGGAGCCATGCTGTTGTAATATGTGCAGAATGTGGTTTGACATTGTCTTGCTGAAACATATTTCATTCAGCATCAATGGTGCCTTCACAGTTGTGCAAGACACCCATGCCATGTGCAGGTTTTTTTTAGCATTTTTCCAGTCTTTTGTTGCCCCTGTCCCAACTTTTTTGAAACATGTTGTTGGCATTAAATTCAAATTGGGCATATGTTTTTCAAAAAACAGTAACATTTCTCAGTTTTAACATTTGATTTGTTGTCTTTGTACTATTATTAATTAAACATAGGGCTTAAATGATTTGCACATCATTGCATTTTGTTTTTATTTACATTTTGCACAGCATCCCAACTTTTTTGGAAATGGGGTTGTATAACCTAATCCAAAGAATGACCATTTTGATCAGTTTCTGTTACTTTTGGATTATTTGTCTATTTAAAGTCATATAATTAAATGACAATTAAAAAACAAAAACAGAGTAAAAGTTAGCATTGACTACAGGCAAGAAAATCAAGAGTGGTTTTAATATAATCTTGCTACTCTATTCATAGATTTACGCTATTTTTATAATGTACAGTACTGTGCAAAAGTTAGAGACCATGCTTAAATTCATAAATGTTATTTCTGTAGGCCATTAAGTATGTTATTCATTTCTCACCCTTATGCAAGTGGATTGTATTATATCTAATCTTCTTGGAAATATGTCCTGAAAAACGAATAGCTTGTACTTAATGGCCATTGTGACTGGAAATTAGATAAATGAAGAGTGACCTCTTCTGCACAGTACTGCATCTGTAATCTGATTTTTTGTTTCTAGTAATGGAATAAAGCTACTTGTTTTGTATACTGATTACATAACACTGTAATATGTATTGCATTACTTCCCAAGTTGGTATGTATCGTAGTTATTCATGTCAGTTTTACCACCAAGTGCCAAGTACACTATATGGACAAAAGTATTGGGCACATCCCTCCTAATTATTGAGTTCAGGTGTTTCAGCCACACCCATTGCTAACACACAAACACAAACACACACACATCTTGTAAGCCGCTTATCCTTCTGGGAGTCACACGGGGAGCTGGAGCCTATCCCAGCCGTCATTGGGCAGAAGGCCCCATTGTTAACAGGCGGATAAAGATAAGCACATAGCCTGTCAGTCTTGACAGACATATGTGTAGGTGTCCCAATACTTTTGTCCATAAAGTGTATAAGATACTGCAGATCAATTTTGAAGTGCCTACCAATGTTCGGTTTTTTAGCCTCACAGCTTCCAATATGTAAAGCGGATAGATAGAGCAAAGGCAAACATACCAGATTGCACTACTAATCATAAGATATATTATTTTGGAATTTACAGGTGCTGATGGAACACCACTGAATTTCATATTTGTGACTTTATTGTACAGGAAAGACGAGGGCACAAAAATGTCAACAGATTTATATTGATGTTGTAAAATGATGCATCCAGCTCTTAAAGATCTAGCACAATGGTGACATTGTGAATATTATCTAAAGAAAAAAGAAGTTATTCATGTCAGCTTTACTTGCCAAATGGAGAGCCGTTCCTTTAATTTTCTGAGTGCAAAAATGTAGAATTAAAGGGTGTTTTAACTTAAATCCATTCCATTTGGTAGGAGACTTATTGCCAAAGTGCTGCTTTGAACCAGCTGCTAATCTCCAAAAGACCCTTCACCCTTGCAAGAAACTTCTGTAAGAAATTGCGACTTGAAAATGTTCAACTATGAATTTCCTTCTATTTCTAGGTATTGTATCATCTTCATAAAAAAATCAAGAACATGTCCAAGAAATCTGAACGCTCAAAGAGAAAGGTAAGAGTAGCAGTTCTTGTTTCTGTCTTCTTTTTTTTCATATAATTGAGTTCATATGATCTTGTCTCTTCTTTCATGTGTTCTGTGTTCTGTATGATATTAATTAATCAAAATAAAAAAATAGACTTGTAGACAAGCTTTGCATGCCTGTCATTTTACATTCAACTTGTATAAATTTAAGGACATAAAACTTGCAAAATATTTTAATGTTTGGCACAGACCTACTGTTTGCAAACTGAAAGATATGAGATGGAAAAAAGGTCTAGGCCAGTTAGCTGAGGGAGTATATCATTATGATTTGTCTTATTTTCTAGTTGCCTTCAAGTCACATGTCATCTAATATGGCTTCCTGTCATCTCAAAATGACTTTAATTTAATGCAGTAATGGTAAAATGCTGAGTGACGCACTGTGACATGCTAAAAAATTGAACAGTCAGTGTCAATGTGCCTGCTTTCATTAACGCTTGTGCAGTGTTGGGGTCTGTGGGACCCATTTTCATTGTTTACCAAAAGAAAAAATGATGCGATTTATTATGATTCCTTGGCCTTACAACACATATAACATATAAAATAACACATTTTCAGTGCCTTCACACTGTTCACCCCCTACACATTTAAATTACACGTGTTTGGATGAACCCGTGGGGAATAAAATGTGGAGGTGCTGTGTCCTTCACTCTGATCTCCTCCTACATGGCCTGCTGTTAGTGTGTGCGTGTGTCTGTAGGTGTTTGTATATGTGTGTGTATGTGAGGGTGGACAACATGGACAGGCTGCTGACTTGGTACAGCTGCTAAAGGAGAACCCTACTCTGGCCACTTGTGACATTTTAAACATCTGGTGTTTTTACATAAATTGTTATGGTTGTGATAAAAAAAAAAAAAGTAATGCAGTGGGTCCACCAGACCACTGAGTAAGAAAAACATCAACACCACACAAGGGTTAAAACCAGTTGTTTCAAATTTTTGGATGTCGCACATCACGACACGGCATGCTGTACTTCCACTCTTTTCTGTAACAACACCAGACAACCCACAAACTGTAGGCTTTGACTGCCAAAGCCTACCACTTTTGGCAAAGCTTGCCGGTTTGTGTGGGGTACTGTGGTCAGGTTGTCAGTCTTATCTTGACAATTCTATGCTCAGCAGTGTTAGCTTGCATGTTGCAATATCCATATTTTGATTAGTAAACAACCTCATAATTCAGATAATCCAGTGTTGTTCAAAGGTAAAGGCACACATGACAAAACATATCTACTTTTATCATTTTTGTTAATCATATGCTGTGAAAACCTGCTTAGACCTAGGCCCAATCCTGTTTATTATGTTTACCCCTCCCTTATGTTTTCAAGGGTCACCTTGCCCCTTGGAACTGAGTTACAAGTTGTAGTGGTTGAAATCTTCCCCTACGAAATGGGACCCTCAAATAAAAAAAACATTACTTCATTAACAGCTACTAGCACTGCTCTGTAGGCGACCCTGCCAGTCTGCACTGATAGCAGAGGAGGGTAAAGTTCAGCAACCTCGCTGCTGATCTTTAGTTACATTTTGGGAATCATATGCCTTCAAACAGGGGGATGCAACAATTATTTATTATCGCCCACCGCTAATTCTCCAGTGATACGAAGCTGAAGACAGCTATTCACCAGCTTCTCGTTTAAATTTTCCCATTCCACCTTAAATGGTGCAGCATTTCTGATTGCTGAGGTGCCAGAATATAGCTAACTGTTGCCCCATTTAAGCTTTAACGGGAAATTTAGCTAGCTAGCTACCGAGACATCAGCATATTACTAGCCATGTTTATGCTTATTATGAAGAAAAGGACCATAATACAGTGAAATGACATTAAACTAAGATAATACAATGGTCATCATAATTTTTTTAACAGAGAAAATACTCACATTTGTGGGTTTGTTTGGTTGCTCATAGCACTGCATTTGGAATGTGCCATGTAGCCCTAACACCCTACTTCTAGGCGAGAATGCGCAAAACGGAGGGGTAGGGCTAAGTGGTAGGGCAAGGGTGAAATGGGATTGGACCCTAGACCTCCTTATATGGGCATGTCAGCAACTATAATGTGGCGGCACAACTTCAGAGGCCTAAAGGCATTTCTTAAATGTGTAATTTTAAAAACAGTGCCATATCTTCAGCAACTTGACATAAGCTGTTTGTGGTTAGACAGCGCACTAAGTGCTAACTTTGAGTAGGTATAATCTTGTAGACTTCTTCTTGCTGCTCCTGTTATTGCATCAGTTCTCAGTTTCACTAATGTACCTTTTTAAGCCACCTTGATGACTCTGTCTTAGCCATTCACTCCTAAATCTATTAGAAACCAGAAAATAGTGCTCGGTTTGAGTTTGAATGTCATTGAGATGGCTCTTAAACTTAGAGGTCGTCTCCTGACATGTTGAAATGATAATCAGCACTTCAGTATTCTCTCCACAGAAACGTTAAGCAAGTGCACCGTATGCTTTAATTGTACATACGCACTTCAAAGTCACCTAGAGACATTCAGTCTTTCAGGCCAGATGTTTAAAATGCATTGAGAAGTCCGTTTGTAACAGAGCTGTGTGTCTCTGAGTCCATTTAAGGCTCTTCCTTCTGTGGCCTCAGCCCTTTACTTCAGCTAATGCACCTTAAAAAAAAGAACATTTAAGAGCTACTTCTGTTACCAGTGGCGACACGGTAACCTTGTTTGCAGTGAGCAAATGGGAGAGAGTGGAAAAAAATGCTTTTACCAGTTGTCGAGAGTAAGATAACCTTAACGTGCAGGAAAGGGATTATTTCAATATCTCATTCAGAAAACACCTGATTTGGAGTAGACTGTAATTATTATAATGAGGTAAAATTGACTTCTAATGTATCAGAGAAAGGTAGCTTTTAGAGCGTGATGACGGGGCTGTATCTATAGCAACAAATCGTTAGCCTTGGATCATTTCATAGAAGGTTGCGTTTTGTGATAGCAGTCACGAATGTTATGGACAGACTGTCCACAACATTCGTGACTGCAGAATTGATGCCGCTCAAGTCGTCAGGTTGCGCAAATGAAAAAGGGCCGATTGGTGGATAAGAGGCGCATCTGTTGTTCCATCCTGGGGAAAAGCGTTCGTTCTGAAGTCTGCAGTGTGCTAGTTATGGCAAGATAGCACATCTGTATTCATGTTGCAGGAAATTGAAGAACAGTAGGTCGGCGTTCAAGACTGGGGTCAAACACAAAGTAAACAAAGGCTTTGCTATAAAACACCAAGTGCAAAGAGTGGGTTTTGGTTGTAAAGCCACAAAATGCAGCAGCATTTTTACTAGAATTCCTACAACAAGGGGATTGTTGGCAATAGCTTAACAGTTAAATCTACTGTACCAATTAGCGTTCTGCTAGTGGGGCCCAATTAGCCATATTAGCACTTTGGGGTGCTGGTTTAATATAATAGACCTCTGAAGTCATTTGGCATCCTGTGGTAAACAAAAATTCTCTAAAGCCAAGGGGTTCATTGGTATTTTTCCCATGGGTGTCAACAATGCAGCAACAATACTGTTCAGTGTATGTGGTAATATATGGAGTGTTCAGCACTGATATTATGAAAATGTAATTAAAACTAAAAACCTACCTGTTTTTTGTCGGAATTAATTTATTTAATTTGCTGGTTTTGTAGTATTCCTAGTTTGCCAGGCGTCAAAATAATATCCTTTGATTCTTTTTTGACAAAGATGAAAATCACACTGAAGCCCATAAACTAGCAAAATGAACTGCTGTAAACCATTATGCCACCTAATCTGAAACAGCAGGAAGGATTCACAATGTACTGACATGACTGTAAGAACAAGAAGAGGACATGCCACTTAAACATGCAGTGCCTAAAAAATTTGGAGGGACGGGGTGTGTGAATGTGTTTGGACTTTATCTGTGTGTGAATATGGTTTATATCACAGTTAAATGGATTTTAAGAAGCTTCCATTAGATTACAGTACTGGAGTTCAGCTCTGTTTGCTATTCATACAACACAAAGGTGCCAGAGATCTGCTCTGGTGCACACTGGCCCAATTTCACCCCTGCCAAAGCCTATACGTTTTGTCCTATGTAAATTTGTTGCCAAATGTCATTGGATCCTCTGATTTTCATGCTACAAGCAAGCTAACAATCCTGTGCATTGAAATAACATTAAGTAAATGTTGTACTTCAGCACTATTATATAAAAACACCACAGTCAAACTGTAGACTTGTGCTGTAAAAGCAACATAACCACCACATTTGACTTGCTGGTTTGTATGGGGGTATTTTGGTGAGGATGCCAGTCTTATGATGTCAGTTCAATGCACAGCAGTGTTAGATGGCATGCAGCAATATTCACATTTGAATTCATCCATAATGACTCCATAATTAGGGGAATCCAGTGACATTCAGCAGGGGAATGTACACTGGACAAAACATATCAAGTCTGGAAGACTTTGACAGCTTTCAAAAACACTGTTGATTTTTCCCACAGAGGAATGTAGAGTTTCCCATAGAGACGCCCAGGGTTGCCAAGTGTCAGGTTATGGCCTAGTTTTGAGCTCTATTGTACGGTACTGTCATCTGGCACTGTTGAAATGTCTGGCTGAGCCTCACTCTAAACGCATTCCACTTCTTGAAGTAAATAAAGTGCCATTCTAGCCCTGTCGTTGCATCTCTCTCTCTCTCTCTCTGCCTTTTTTCTTCTCTGTCTTTCAGTTGCGAGGCAACCTTGTCTCTCCTGTATATATCATACTGAACAGCGGGTCAAATTAAGCCTTATTTGAGCTGGATTAGTTTTACCTGGGGACCTGTACTTTGAGATGCGATCTGTGATTTGGCTGGCTTGTGTGAGAGGATTGAGGACACTGGAGGCAGAAGTGAGAGACAGAGCTTTCTTTTATTTACAATCAACAGAAGTGTGCTTAGCTTTGCAGCTCAAGTAACTAAAGTAGGGCTCATTTGGCTGTGACATTTCAGTCGCGTAGTCTACAGGTGTAAACTAGCTCTGCATG